CCTTGCTCATTAACAGTGCCCCTTTGGGCTTCTGTACAGGTACCCCCTGTCAGGACTTGCTCCCAGCTCTTGGACTGCTTTGGGTCCATCCCATCCCACATCCCTGTCCTACCTGAGCAGTCCCAGATGCAGGAATTCTCTAGAAGTCACTCAGTAAATGAGAGGGCAGCTGAGCTGTGAGAGAAGGGAGGAGCTGGGGATTGCTCTTGCCTGAATTTGCCTGGTTTAGGTTTACAAGCATAGAGGGAATAAAGCCCTGTTCTTAAAACCCTCTCACTGGCTTAAATTCCTTAAATTGTTAGGAAGTTGTGAATCCAGGTGGCTTAACATAACTGCAGAGGTTTTGAGGAGCTTTGCTCTGTTCTGTTGGGAAGTTGACCTGTCCTTGCTGGAGTTCTGGCAGAACTGCTGTTACCTGGGTGATCCCTGGGAAACCATTATCCCACAATGTCACTGCTGGCTTCTGTGGATCCTGATGGTGCAGGTCCTGTGCATCAGGCCAGCCCTCTTGTCTTCTGGCTGAGCTGCTGGGGGTGGTCGAGAGGTGGTGCAGGTGTTCCATGTGCTCTCCTGCTCCGTGCCAGGTACGAGTCCGGCGACCACGTGGCCGTGTACCCAGCCAACGACTCCTCCCTGGTGAACCAGATTGGTGAGATCCTGGGCACGGACCTGGACACTATCATGTCCCTAAACAACTTGGATGGTGAGTATGGATAACCCCTGAAGGTCAGCAGTTCTCCTTCAGATGTGGCCTCTGTCTTTTACCCTCAGATCCCATGGGGCACCTCCAGATGTCCCACAGCCCCTCTCAGTGTTGTGCTGTTTTAGCAGGGGCTCAGAGCCTGCTTGCTGAGATCAGCTGAAGTGGGTCAGTTGTGAAATGTGCTTAGGGAGCCTATTGAACAACAAATTATGTAACAGCACACTCCTAATTACGGAGCATCAGCCCACCAGAGCATCCTTCAGCAGCCCCAGAGCTCCTCAGAGCCCTGAATGTGTGAGATGTTCTTATCCAGCCCAGGGAGGAGGCACAAGCTTGGGGACTGAACTGACAGCAGGGAGCACTTGTGCTGATCCAAAGAGCCTTTCCTGGGTAACATTCCCAGCAGAGCTGGCCTCTGGCAGGAGGGAGATGGCAGCTGCTGCCCATCACACTCCTGGAGCAGCACAGCAGGCCTGAGGCAGCAGATGTGCTGGCCCAGAAGCCTGAGAGAGCTCCTGGTTTCTAGAGAGGAAGTGAATTTAATGCACTGCTGGAGCCTGGGGCCCTCTGTGCAGTGTCTTGTGCTGTCCAACCTCACGCTGCTATTCCTGCTCCTTATGGACCTCTCAAGGCTGAACAGAACGGCTCCATTGACTGCTGGCACAGCTGTACGTGGCTGACAGAGCCTAAGGACACTTTTGAGACCAGATCTGATGGAGGCCAGAGGCCAAATTAGCCATGGAGGGCAGCCCCCTGCTTAGCCTGGACTGTGCACGCACATCTTGGGGCAGGGAGCCCCTTGGGGAACACAGGGTTGGTTTTTTTTGCTGCTAAACCAGGCAGCATCTGTGAAACACAAAATGGGCTACTGGAAGATGGAGCTGCCTGAGGAGGGAGGTGATTCAGAGTGGAGCTGGGGCTCTGACCAACAGGCTGCTCTCTCCTCCCTGAAGCTCACTCTGCTGTCTCCAGCCCTCACTGTGTGTAGTACCTGCACAAAACCTCTTAACGTAACAACGTGAGGTGGATGACTTTTAATTTTTTCTTTCTCTCCCACTTCTCCAGAGGAATCCAACAAGAAGCATCCCTTCCCCTGCCCCACGTCGTACCGGACAGCCCTGACCTACTACCTGGACATCACCAACCCTCCCCGCACCAACGTCCTGTACGAGCTGGCCCAGTACGCCACGGACGCCGGCGAGCAGGAGCGCCTCCGTAAAATGGCCTCGTCTGCTGCTGAGGGCAAGGTGGGAGCACTGCTCTTCCCAGCTGGGGGATCCCCAAAAGGCACCCAGAGAGCCCAGGGGGTGTTTGTGAGGGGAGGTTGTGATGCCTGTGCCCTCCTCGCCTGCAGGCGCTGTACCTCAGCTGGGTGGTGGAGGCCCGCAGGAACATCCTGGCCATCCTGCAGGACATGTCCTCCCTGCGCCCCCCCATCGACCACCTGTGCGAGCTCCTGCCCCGCCTGCAGGCCCGCTACTACTCCATCGCCTCCTCCTCCAAGGTGGGTGTGCTGCCAGCAGGGAATGTGGCTGTGGAGGGACTGCTTCAGCTGCAGCTCCCCTCTGCTGGGAGCTGGGCGTGAGGAGCTTCTCCTGGTGACATTGGCTATGAGAGGGGCAGATTTAGTGATCTCCATGCATGGAGTCGTCCCAGCTTCCCACAGGGTTTATGGAGAGTCCCATGCCAGCCAGCTGTGCCCTGATGCCACCACTCTCTCTGGGGCCCTGCTCCTCTTGGCCTGGCAAGGTGGCATTTTAGGGGCTGGTCAAAAGTCACGCTTGGCAACCTCCAGGGAAGCTCAGTGGTCCCGTGATGCATTAAGAGAGAAGCCCCATGAGGAGCACACAGGGAGGAATAGCTATCCCTATGAGGTTAAACTTCTCCCCACTCCTGAGCACAGGAGGAAGCTGTGTGGGGTTCCTGGGTTCCTTCTCTGCCTGGTTCCAGCATCTCTTCCTTGCAGGTTCATCCCAACTCCATCCACATCTGTGCTGTGACCGTGGAGTACAAGACCAAGACTGGCCGCCTGAACAAAGGGGTGGCCACCAACTGGCTCAAGAGCAAGGTGCCTGACCAGAACGGGAGCAGCTCCCTGGTGCCCATGTACGTCCGGAAGTCGCAATTCCGGCTGCCCTTCAAGCCCAGCACGCCCGTGATCATGATCGGGCCTGGCACCGGCATCGCCCCCTTCATCGGCTTCATCCAGGAGCGGGCTTGGCTGAAGCAGCAGGGTGAGTGCCCAGGAGCTCCCCCAGGGGCTGGAGCCGCTGCAGGGCTCTGTGGGGCCAGGTGGTGCCTCCAGGGTGCAGCTTTGCTGCTCCTGTTGCTGCTGAGCCCGGCCAAAAGCAGAGTGCTGGGGCAGGGTGAGCAGAGCTGAGTGGTTTTGTCCACAGGAGGATGCTTTGTCCTCTTGGCCACAGAGGATGTGTGGGGGTGGACAGACCTGAGGCACTTCTCGACCTCTGCCACCACCACACCTCCAAATAACCACAGTCAGGTCACTCAGACTCGATTCTGAAGCTTGTGGCCACTTCTGGGAATTGGTCCTGAGCCTTGTAACCAGAAACCATCGTGCAGCTCTGCAAGCACAGGGTGGGGGACAGAGAGCACGGCGTTGGGGGCTGCTGGGGGGTGTCAGGACAAGGGGAGGCTGTGAGGGGACAGCAGGGGCTGGCAGGGCCCAGCTGATGGGGGCTGCGTGACCCTGCAGGCAAAGAGGTGGGCGAGACGGTGCTTTACTACGGCTGCCGCCGCCAGCACGAGGACTACCTGTACCGGGAGGAGCTGGCCCACTTCCAGAAGGAGGGAGTCCTCACCCAGCTCAACGTGGCCTTCTCCAGGGACCAGGCTGAGAAGGTACCACACTGTTCCCACTTGTTCCTGCTGCCCACCATCACCCCCATGGCAGGCAGGAGCAGCCAGCACTTCCCCTGTCTCCCATGAGCACAGCCTTGCCTTCCCTCCCTCTCAAAGGTCTGTGCTGTGGGGGCTCTGCTCCTCTCTCCTCACTCCCACCTTGTTTCCTGCCAGGTTTATGTCCAGCACTTGCTGAAGAAGAACAAGGAGAATGTCTGGAAGCTGGTTAACGAAGGGATGGCTCACATCTATGTGTGCGGGTAGGTCTGGGGACAGGACGGGGATTTGGGGACAATGTTCCTGTTCTCAGGAAAAGGAGCGTGACTCAGTTTCCCCAGCTGTGCATTACAGACCCTGGGAGGGTTATGCTGTCCTGGTTCAGAGGAGGGCAGGGGGTGTGGGGTGAGCAAACCCTCTGTGCCCAGGTGGGAGGTGACAGTGGCTGTGCTGTGGTGTCTCACTGACGCTCCCGGTTTGCAGCGACGCGCGGAACATGGCCCGGGACGTGCAGAACACCTTCTACGAGATCGTGTCCGAGTTTGGGAACATGAGCCAGCCCCAGGCCGTGGACTATGTAAAGAAACTGATGACAAAGGGCCGCTACTCCCTGGATGTGTGGAGCTAAGAGCAGGGCTGGCGGGGCCGGGGAGAGAACAGGTCCCCAGGCGTGGGCCAGGGGAGCTGGCAAGTGCCTGCTCGCTCACTGCTGCTGTGGGTGACGGTGTCGTCCCCAACCCACGGCTACCCCGGTGTCACTCCCAACCCTTCCTGGGCCTCAGCAGCCCCTCGGGGCAGGCTGTGGACCCAGGGGCTGGAAGGGGTTGAGAGGGGCAGGGGGGTAGCTGGGGCAGGAGCTGCGGTGCCAGCATGGCACCAGCGTTTGCCTTGAGGCCAGCAGGGACAGCGGGGACGCAGCCACTGCGGGGCCGGAGGGACCGACACTGCCAGGGCGTCCTTCCCTGAGCACGAGGTGTCGCCTTATCCCCGGGGCTGGAGCCCACCCTGGCCTGCAGGGACAGCAGAGGGGCAGAGGGGCTGTGCTCAGGCGGGGATTGAGGCTTTGCCATCCTGCCACCCCCGTTTGCCCAGCTCTGGGATGTGGGGCTGGCTCTGGGCACAGAGCTGTCCCATGGCCCCACCAGCATTTCCCACTGCCTGCCCTCGCTCCAGCACCAGTGGGAAGCTCCTCTCCCTCTGGAATACACCCGGTTTGGGAGGTGGGGTCTCAGCCCTGCAGCTCCCCTGAGCCCAGCCCCTCCCTCACGCCGTGCACGGTCATTTTTTAAATACGGTTTTTATTTTGAACATCTTTGTGATTTAAGCATTGAAAAAAAAAAAAAAAAGACAACAACAAAACCCCCAGACCTTCAGGCTCTCCAATGATTGTAAATTATTTAAATACATTTGCCCTTGGAATAAAAATACTGTGTCTGGGTTTGCTTCCTGCATTCTCTCTGCTCAGCCAGAGGGAAGGAGGCAGGAGGAGCAGTCAATGATAACTGGGAGGAAATTTGGGGATGTGGTGGCAGCTCTGGGTTTAGGCTGAGCTGGGGGCAGCCCCTACCCCGAGTGCTGGGCTGTGGGAGGGGAGGGAGGATGGCAGTGGGGGGCTCTGGACTGGGGTGCAGCTGTGCCTAACCTGCTCTTTGGTTCTTCCAGAGCTCCCGATGCTGGTGCAGGGTGGCTCTTCCCCACCTCCAGGGACACTGAGGTTCTACCGAGCTCCTTGGGCGGCCACGGTTCTGGCCACAGCCTGTGCAGACTCGGGTGCCACGGGAAGGAGCCCTGCCTGCAGCCCAGGCTGGTGGAAGGGCACAGGGAGATGACTTTTCATAAAATCATGGGCACATTTAGGCTGGAAAACCCCTCCAAATCATTGAGGCCAACCCTTAACCCAGCACTGCCACACCAACCACTCAACCATGTCCCCAGCTGTCACACCTACATGGCTTTTACATCCCTGCAGGGATGGTGACTCTAGCACTGCCCTGAGCAGCCCCTGGCAGGGCTGGACACCCCTTTTTTGTGAAGATACTTCATAACCAATCTAAACCTCCCCTGGTGAAACCTGAGGCTGTTTCCTCTTGTCCTACTGTGACAATTGTCCTCTGACCCCCACCTCCACCCTCCTCACAGGGAGGTTGTGCCAGGACCCACTTCCTGATGACCCAAAGCTGCAGAGCAGAGTGTGGAAGCTGTTCCCAGACTGTCCCGGTGAGGCAGGGCAGCTCCTTCCCTTTATTTTCACCCGTGCAGCCTCAGGAGATGCCAGCCCAGGGCGCTGCTTGCACAGCTCCAGGGAGAGGCCTGGGCCAGGCTCCTGCTGCTCCCAGCCCTGCCCCAGCTGGCCCTTCCCTCTGGATTGAAGGTGAGGAAGGAGCTGGGACACCCCTGGAGTGCCCTCAACACTCAACACCCCTGGGCTGCCCTGGCTGCAGGGCTGGGGGGACAAGGGGTCCTCGAGCAGCCCAGGAGCCGTGTGAGGCAGTGCAGGACACTGCCCTGTCCCACTGGGGTGGGGACATCCACAGAACATCCCAGGAAAAGGGAGGGGAGTGGCTGTCCCAAGCATCCCGCTGTGTGGATGTGGGAGGCAGCCAGGAGAGGAGGTGCAGGGTGCTCCCGACTCCAGGTGAGTGACTCCAGCACGGATCCAGCCCCGTGCTCAGCACATGGACTGTCCAGGAGCAGGCCCCAAGATCTGTCCCACATCCAGGCCTCCGAGGAATGGGATGAGACACCAGAGTCCGGACGGAACTGAGGAGAGGGGGATAGGGGATGGAGCTGGTGGGGAGGAACAGTCCAGGCCCCCACACTGCCCCACTTCAATTCTCCTTTGTGTCCTGGTTCTTGTTCTGAATCTTCTGGTGGACGACACGGAGGGTGGTGAAGAAGTTGCCCAGGAAGAGGATGAAGAAGGGGAGGCCGCACATGAGGACCTGCGGGACCAGAGGAGTCAGCAGGAGGGACCTGCCTGGGGCATTCCCCTCCCAGGGCATTCCCAGGAGCCTCCTTACCTGCCACTCCTTGCACTCGGGGTGCTGGATCATGCGGAACAGGGTGATGGCGTTGTAGAGCTGCCAGAACTGCAGGAGAGAGGAGATTCAGAGGAGCTGCTGCTTCCACAGGCTCAATCCCAGGCTGGCGCCCATCCAGCTGCTACCTCTGGCTGTAAACCCCACACCCACCTCGTGTGGGGACAGTGAAACCCCATGAAGGGCTCGTCCCCAGAGGACCCCAGCTGGGACACCCCCATTTCAGGCCAGCCTTTGGCCTTCAGCCCCCACAATCTGACTGAGGAAGGAGTTGATCCTTTGCAGCAGCAGCTCCAAGCTGGAGCTCAGAAGGGCTTTGGAAAGGCTTTGGAAGGGTTCTCACCACAGCCCCTCTGCACCTGAGCACTCAGCAGAACCAGCCCAGCCCCTCCCCATCTCACTGCCCCACTTGTGGAGGTGGTGGGTGCTTCGGAGGGAAGGGCCCAGCATTTGCTGGAAGCATTTCCCTGCCCCAGGCATCCCCTCTCACATGGCTGTGGCAGCCTGTGGGGTCTGTGCCATGCCCAGGCCACCGAGCACAGCTGGGAACGTGGCACATCCTGCTCCCACCTTGCAAGGACTGGGGCAGCCTCACCTGCCCAAAGAAGAGGAAGGGAAGCAGGAACGTGAGGCCTCTCCACATCCAGGACTGGAAGCCCTCTGCAAGGGATGAAGGTTTCTGTGAGGACCCAAATGGGCTGGTGGAGAGGGGCAGGAGCCCGGCTCCTCCAGGCATGGGAGGCTCAGTGCCCACACCGTGAGGAGCTCCTGCCATTCCAGCCTCACTGTGGGCACTTGCAGTGGGGACAGTGGCACTGACTCCTAATCCACCCCAGGGCTCTGGGCTCCAGTGGAGCTGGCCCTCAGCTCCTGCCCTCGGTGTCACAGGGGCCGGGCAGGGGACAGCCCGCAGTGCCTGGGGTGTTGGAGGGATGTTTCATGTCTGAAGGAGCTTCCTGGGGAAAGCTGGGATGCCCAGAGCCACATCCACTGCCAGCTCACAGCCTGAGGGAGCCAGCTGTGGCTGGTGGTCCCAGCAGAGCAGGAGGAGGGGGACAATCTTGTGGTGCTGCCCCACAGGAGACGCTGCTCTGGGAGCTTTGGTTTGATTTGTGGCTTTCACTCTTCCTGCCACTGATAAAAGTGACCTCAAATCAAAGTGTCCCCATGTCCTTCAGTAGATCCCACAGCTCCCAGCGAGCCGAGCACCAGCCTGAGAGCACCAGCAAGGGACATCCCACTCACCCACAGTCAGATCCATGTTGTGCCTCTCTCCCAGCGCTCGCAGCCGGTACAAGCAGCCACTCTGGTAATAATACTGCAGGAACTGCACAAAGCCTGCAGGGAAAGCATGGCTGCTGGCAGGAGCTGCTCAGGGATCACCTGCCAGCCCCAGCATCATCCCACAAAGGCCACCCGAGGCCAAGGGAACTGCCAGGTGAGCTGAGAGCTGTGAGCAGCTACAGCCAGGTCCCCACGTGCTGCAGAGCTCTCTCAGCACTTGGGGCTCAGTCCTGTCCCAGCACTTACTCTGGTACATGGAGAAGGAGAGAAACTGGTTCCTGAACATCTGGTACATGAGCCCATCTGGCCTGTGGAGAGAAGGTGCTGGCTGGGGGATGTGGGGCTGGCAGGGGACCTATGGGCCCTTGGCCAGAGCTGCCCACAGCCCAGGCAGCCCCACCATGGGACGGGGGACACAGACTTACCACGTCAGCATGACACCTGAGAGGAAGGTGGAGATGTAGTGATGGAAAACCCACCAGCCTTTGATCCTGGAGGACACACACACAGAGAAGCTCACGTCTGGAGCGTGAACCCAGAGCCAAAGGCACCCCTGAGTGTGGAGCAGCCCAGCCCCAACCACCCCAGAGCTCCCAGGGCTGGTTGGGAAACGCTCCTCAGAGCAGGACCCAGGGCCTCGGGGCTGGGCAGCACCAGGGCCCTTCCAGCTCCACCTTCCCTCGCCTCCTCCGCACGGGAGGTTCCTCCTGCCCCGCTCCTGCAGCTCCCAGCAGGGTTTGCCACACACCCTGAGTAGGAGGGAGCTGCTCCCCTGTGACGGGTCCCAAACTCCCCCAGCCCTGCAGGAAGGCCCAGCCCCCTGCACGCCCCCTCCCCGGGCCCGGGGCACTCACTTGGAGCCGTTGTTGATGAGGATGCTCTCGCGGATGGTGAGGGTGCAGTAGTACCACACCAGGAGGAAGTTAAAGACGGCGTCTGTCACCCTGGGGCACACAGGGCAGGGTGTGAAGGCACGTGCTGGGGGCACAGGCACCGTCACAGCCCGTGGGACACCCAGCCCCAAGGGAAGGGACCTGCTCCCCACCACCCACCGTGGCCACGGCAGCCACAAAGGCCAGCCCACCTCCAGGGCAGTGTCCAGATGCTTTAACAGCATCCCCCGTTCAGCTCTGGCTGTTCCAGGATGGGAGAGAAGGGCAAGGGGGCTCTGGGAGGAGATCTCTGCCCAGCACCAAGCCAGACTCACCTGGAGTTGAGGACGAACCGACAGGAGAAGGAGACAATGAGCAGGATGATGGTGAGGTAGAGCTTGAACTTCTCGTACTCATCTTTATATGCAAACCTGCAGGGAAGCACAAGGGCAGGCCTGGAGTAAGGGGGCTGCTGGAAATTTGTGTCCTCCCATCCCATCTGGCTGGGTAAAAGAGAAGTTCTGTTGGGAATCTCTGGGACACACTTGGGAAGAACCTTGCCTTGGGGGTATTTCTGAGAGCAGAGCACATCAGGCTGCTGCCACACAGCTGGGACATGTCTGAGCACCCCAAAGCACCCCAGCGTGGTGGGTGGCCCTGGTGGGGAAGATGGGCAGACTGGGATCTGCACACATCTCAAGGGGAGGATTGGGGAACAGAGGGTCTCCCCTGGCTGGGCACCTCTGGCAACAGAAAGGCTCTCAGAGGCCAAAACCAACTTTTGGTGTTTCCCCAAGGGAAGAGGAGGGGACTATCCACTGTCTGTCTTTCCTGGAAGTTCCTAATACAGTGGAAACATGGACATAGCTTTGGTGGAGGATCCCATTAACTTGTCAGAGCTAATGGTCCGTCCCAGCCCAGTGGCAGGAATGTGAGGGGGAGCCAAGGGTTTGGCTGATTCTTGGGAAATGATGCAGAAAACAGCTCAGGAAGGGAATCTACACCAGGTGAGCCGAGCCAGCCCCCTGTCTGCCTGGGAGGAGCTGCTGTTCCCGGTGCCAAGGGGATCCCAAGTCAGGAAAATCAGAGGTGCAGCGAGGGGGGGCCGTACTTGGCCTGTTTGCTGAGCAGTGTCACGTTCACGTTGCCGAGCACCAGACTCAGGTACAACCTGGGGAGAGAGCAGAGTGTTAGGACAAGGACCTGCCTGTGGGGCTGTCCCCTCTCATGCCACCAGTGGGGCCAGGGATGAGCCCCCAGGTGCTTCCACTCGGAGCTGCCAAGCACAAACCCTCTGGAATCCCCTCCCACGGGCAGGGGGACGGGCGGGGGAACCCACACCCCACCTCCCACGGGCACTGGGGTGTTCACAGGGCTTCTCCTCAGCACAACCATCATCTAAGGGTGGGTGATGGCCATGAGCAGGCAGAGGAGTGAGGGGCAGCACTGCTGGCTCCTGCCCAGGTGTCCTTGGAGCAGCAAGTGGAGCAGCAGAGCTGTGACACCGCTGGGTGACAGCTCTGGGTCTGCAGAGCTGCTGCCACAGGGATGTGGAAGGTGGCCCTGGTGCCCCACCCGGTGCTGAGGTGCCTTCTCACCCGTTCTTCTTTGGCAGGTAGGCCTCCATCTCAAAGAAAACGTTCTGCCTCTCTTTAATCAGGCTCTGGGTCTCTTGGATGGACGATTCCTGCTCGGGAGTCGCCTGGGGTTTGCATCTGGGGAGCAAACACAGTGCTGGCATCAGGAGAGCCTCTGCAATGTGATCAGCACGTGCTGGCACTCCACAGGCGACAGACTCGGGCAAGGACACCCCAAGGACAGGGAAGGTGGATGGGAGGCAAGTCCACAACTCCATCTGCAGGGCAAGCTCCTCTGCCAGGCTGTGATGTTGCTCGAGAGAAGGGAGCAAGGTGAGGCCAGATGGGTCTCCCAGCCTTAGGAGAGACAGGGAGAGCTTTGTGCAGGAGGGGAGCAGCTCGTGGTACCTGCAAAACCCTTACAAGCTCTGAACTGCAAATGGGGCACAAATCAGGGCGGAGGAAAGGGGGGCTGGGGAAGATCAGCCTCCCCACAGCACTTGGCTGCAGAGAGGTTTGCATTTGAGACATGAGCTGAGCTCAGCAGCCCCATCCTTGCTGCTCTCCCGTGCTGCCACAGAGCACTGACTCACTTTTTGAGGGAGAGCGACAGCTCCTTCAGCCGCTTCTTCTGCCGGGCTATGGAGCTGGAGATCCCATCCTGGAGCTTGGTCAGCTCCTCGAGTTTCTGCTTGTACAGCTTGTGGTTGTCCTGGGAAGGAGAGACCAGCACGCATTAGAGATGCCTGCCCAAACACCCCTGTCCTTTGGCCCTCTGTGATGCTTTTGTTAAAAAATGTCCTTAATTTCACCTGTGCAGCTGCTGGGTGAGAGGAGGTGTGGCTGCAGAAGGCCAGGTGAACTGGGGACAGCCTGCCACCAGCCCTGTTTCCATGGGGATGCCCATCCCCAACCCCAGGCAGGCTTTCCACAGGACGTTCCCATGCTCAGGACACCAATGACTGCACACAGCAGATAGGAAAGCAGTTAGGAATAAAAGATAAACGCTGTGTGGACCAGGGTACAACTGTGGCCACTCCTGGGACAGGGTGAGAAGCTCTTTGTACCTCCAGGTCTCCCAGCTCGTGGTTTTGGGGCTCCACCTGAGCACTGGAAGCTGGAAGGAGCCTGTCAGTGAGCTGGATGAAGAGGATGGACTCCAGCAGGGCTGCAGCCAAGTGCCCGGTAACCCAACTGCACCTGGATAAGGCTGGATGCATTTCTCCACTATATTTAGTAGGGAAAGAGGAGAGCTGCTGGATCAATGCTGCTGCTTGTCCAGCTCAGCAGGAAAACAGCTTCACCTTGGCCACAGCAGCCTGAACACCACCTCCAGCAGGGAATTACACCAACAACCCTTGGACTAGACCTTGGCACAAACAAGTTTTAACCTCTGTAGCTTTTATCAGCCACTTGATCACCAGATCTTAAAAGTTGTTCCCAAAGGAGAAATGTGAAACCGAGAGCAGAGGAGGGAAATCTCCTCTCTCTGGTGACAAGCAGCAACAAGGAGGGAAGGGATCCACAGCAGTGATTTATGTCCCTGCTTTATCCTAGGACATTCCCTGCTTGACCATCAAGCTTTCCTGTTGCCATCTAGAGTCACCTCCTTCTGAGTCCGGAGTTAACTGTGAGCAAGTGGCTTTTGTGACAGGTCCTTGAGCCGTGCCAGCATCCTTGCTCCACTCTGGAGAGCCTGGATGAGGAGCCGCGGTGGGAGGAGGTGTCCCAAGGGAAGCGCTGAGTGGCTGCACTCCGGGCTCGAAGTGGGTGACCCGGGACATCCACGCAACCCTTATGGAGCAAGAGGAGGTTTCTCAAAGCCTCCCTTGCCCCAGATCTGGGCACAGCAGCGACGTGTCCGCAACAACATCCGCTTCACCCCGCTCCCGGGGGGGAAGGAGGGGGAAAGGGAACGGGTTCAGCTGCAGCCGAGTGACCTGAGCGGCAGCAGGAGATGGTTGGCCAACCTTTCCCTTGGGTGACCCTGTGTGAGCTGAACCCTGCCCACTCCTTCCCCGGCAAGCAGCGCCCTGGGGATTACACAAAGCAGGTGGAAGCACCTCTGACACCAAGTCACCTTCCTGGCACGGAGCCCCCGGCCAGCCCCGGCGGTGACAGGGGATGGCAGAGGGGACAGGGCTGGCTGAAGCGTGCCTGGATTCCGGGACACCTCGGCTCCGCTGGCCTGTGGCCGGGCCGAGAGCAGCGATAAGGAGCGAAATCTGCGCACCTCGTCCGGCCGTGCCACGCCAGGCGCCGCCGCTGCCGCTCCCAGCAGGAAAAACGGGAGCTCCGAGGTCTCCACGGCACGACCTCGGCGGGCTGGGGCACCAGACCGGGGCACCCCGCTCCTCCCGAGCCCCGGCACAGCCCGGCGCCCCTGCCCCGCTCCCAAACGCTCTGCCCCAGGGCACAAGGCTCGTAGCCGCGGGCTGGGACACGGGGGGAAAGCAGCCGGAGTCCAGAGGGCAGAGCCCGGCCGCCCGCGGTACCCGCTGGGGATGCTGCGGGGGATCCCCACCCCCGGTGCCGGTAACCGGGGCGCTCCCTCGGCCGCTGCCCGGGGCTGCCCGGGGCCGGTGGTACCTGGATGCGCTGGTAGCCGTCCTGCAGCTCCTCCCACTCGCGCAGGCACTCGGCGAGCGAGGCGCCCCAGGCCATGGCGGCGATGGCGGCGGCGACCGGCCCGGCCCGGCCCGCGGCGACGGGCGGCGCTGGCCCCGCCCCCTTCCGGACACGCCCCGGGGCGGGGCCTCCGCGCTCTGCGTTTCCCGGTAAATCGCAGCCTGGAAAAGGGGAAATTCCCTGGAATCGCGGCGCTCGGCTGGAGCACCGGGCGGTGTGAGGTGCGCCCGGCTCGCTCTCAGCCCCGGCAGATCTCGGGGTGCGCTCCCCACAGAGCCTCGCGTGTCAGAACGAGCAACCCAAACCCAGCGCTAAATCCCCAACACAGAGTGCTGCAAAGCCAGGGAGTGTTTTCTGTCATGTTTTATTTTCTGATGTTAAAGAACAGAATCCGGAGTGCTGCTCTTACAGACAGGACGGTACCGAGTTTAGGTTTCGTGTGACAGCACTGAGGCTTTAAAATTAGCAGCTGTGCCCAGAGGTTGGGTTGTAGAATTAGAAGGTGGCAAATGGGAAGGGTGGACTTGTCAACAATCCATTCAGGGTAGCTGAGAAGGCACTCACAGGGCACAGGGACTTCTGAAACAGGGAAATTCTGTTGTCACCTCTCCAGGCTAGAAGTGGGCACTGTGAGACTTTAAATTTACTATTCCAGACCATGGATAACAAACCTTTACAGAGATAACTCTACTGACTGCCCCACAGCTGTGCTTACAAAAGAGTCTCGAGCTGTGTCTAATGGGCCACGTCCTGCAGGACTTGCATTCCCTAAACTGCCACCTCCTCCAGCACAGGTGAGTTCCCCAGGAGGCTCCAAATCCTGACCCAAAATGACATGGAGCTAAAGAGGAAAGCTTTTCCATAACATTTGGGTCTTTTTTTCACACAGTGTTCAAGTAACTTTCTCCCCAGAAAGGGGAAGTGGCTTTCCCCGTGGGATGTTCTCTGTCAGTAATTTGGTTCAGAGACGTCTGTGACTGGGCACCCATAGATTTGGGTCTCCCAGGCTGAGAGCTGTTCCACAAAGCCCCGGTGTGGTCTCATGTTCATTTTGCATTTCAGAAGGTATTTCCAAGCTCTCTGTAAACAGAAGGAAAGTAAAGAAGTGTTAGGAATTGAGCAGAAAATGTCTCTTGGGCATTTTCACAAAGCAGCTACACTTCAGCCAACACAGCCTTGTATTTGCTCCCTGTGCTGGACAGCAAGAACCTGCGGAGAGGAGTTTGGTACTAAAGTGGGGACAGGCTGGAATCAGATGTGAACCTGAGAGAAACTTGTCCCCTTCATGCTCTGCTCTCCTGGATACGAGGACAGCTCAGGCTGCTTTCACTACTTAGCGTTATCCTACTCTGATGGAGCAATGCAATCCTGGATTTTCTACCCTAAAATGCTGTTCCTTCCACAGATGATGAGCAAAGCAGTGAAGCATCAGCTGTAAAGGTTATAAAGCAATGAAGGTTTTGGATTGGTGTGCCCTGATGTGGCAGAGCAGTTATGACCTCACAGTTATCCCACTGTATTAATTACAGCCATCTTAATTATTTGTTAGCTCCAAGTAATCACCTAGAAACTCTGACACACACAGGGCAGATCCACCAGCATTACTCCAGCTCCATCCCTGGGCTTTCCTGTCACTGCTCATCTTCCTGCTCATAAAGGAGCTTGCCCCCTGCACTTGGAAGGTTGCTTAATTGAAATGAGACCAAAGGTCAGCAGATAGTACTCCATTGGTTTGTTTTTCTAATCTTGCTGATTGTGCAGGCTCTGAGGCTGATATTCCAGTATTTACTGCTCTGGGTCCACACTGTGGGTGTCTCTGGTTCTCCTGGACTCAATAGATCTACTCACATATTGCCCACTAACAGAATCAGGGGCTGCACATCCCAACTCTGCCTTGCTTTTGCCTTTTTGGAAGCTTTCAAAGATCTTTGCCTGGATTGGCTGGAGGATCACACAGGAATCTGTTGCACTGCTTTTGTCTGCAAGAAACAAACTTGTCTGCCAGGGTAATCCCTCAGGAGAGCTTTGCCCAGCAAACAGTGCCCTGTCAATATTTTCTCTCTTTTTTTGGCATTTAGTAAAATGCTGAGACCAACCTGTTGATGCCAACTGAGAGGAATGGCAAGGCTCAGCCTTTGACTTTTGCATTGCCATTGCAAGCACATTCTGTCATTTGATGAGTGAGTGGCTGTTATGCAGGAGCAATCACATCCCTGTTAGTGCAGGGACTGAACCCTGTCTGAGCCCTGCTGGCAGCCTCAGCTTCTAATTACCCACTGGCACACAGCCATGGAAAGAGCTCTCCTCTTACGTTGGACATGTTTGCACAAAATCAATCACCTTATCAGATGCAGACCCAGCTTCAGTGAAGTTTGGATCAATCCCTTCAAGCTCCTGAACTTTCCAAACAAGGGTGAGGTTTTTAAGGAGAGGCTGGCCAGTTGCCATGGGAACTCTCCATGTTAGGAGACACCAGGAGATGCTGCCTGTGTGTTGTATGCAAAGGGAGAAAGGCCTGGCACCAGGGGAGAGGCCACCAGGTCCTTGCACAGCCAGGCCATTCCCAGCCATCCTTCATTAATTTCTTTGGTTATTCACAGCTATGGAACAGCCTGTACTGGCCATCTGACCTGTACATCCTTCCTGGGCAAGTGTTATCCCATTGCAGATTCCTATACAGGAGTGTCTGTGGGAGGGGATTGCTTCTGGAGGAATAAAAAAGGATTTGGGAAGAAGTCAGTGCTGAAGCCAATGGTAAATGAGAGCCCTGCAAACACTGGGTTCTGAACTTCTCTAACATCATGGAATTAAGAGATAGGATTAACTGCAGTAGCTTTCACTCTTTTCCTCAAACCCAGCAGAGAAATACCACGTTCTGTATCCACAGCTTTTCTTTTCTAGCCCTTTAGTTAAGTAGGGAAAACAAAAATATCACAAGTTTTAGAGTAAGGACTCACAGATCCAAAATCACACCTAAGCCACCTCCCAAATGGTCTAAAGAAGATGCAACCTCAAATCACATAATCAGTTCCATTATCAGGTGGATATTGTGCATGAAATCACAGAGAATGTCTTGTTATAAGTGATGTGGCTTCAGAGAGAAATGAAATGCAGAGCCAGTTCCTGCAGGGACTGTGCCAGTGACATACCTGCAGGGAAAAGCGGCAGGAGTGCATCAGATAAGCCATGGTGGCTGTGCTGCTCCGGCTTATCCCCAGGCTGGAGAACACCAGCACTGCTCCCACGTCCAGCTGAGTATCTGAGTCAAGAAATGCCAATCACAAATTAGTGAGCTGGGAAATGGAGCTTCCCATGGCAGAGTGAAGCACTAATGTGGTGACAGCTGACAGGGGGGCTGCAGCCTGAGAGACAGGAGTCCTCAGGAACCCTGACAGCAGCAGATGGGCACTGCCAGCTCCCATTTCTGTAAGCATTTGCCTTTCTTAAAAATCCACATGGCCTTGAAGAGCAGCACCAATGACAATGACCAGTCAATGCTTCATTACACAGCAGTGTCACCTTCACATCAGGGATCTGAGGTCTTTCATGACCTATCAGCTGTGGTCAGCATCACAAACTCTCCCCAGACAGGTCTAAATGCATTGAAATTTTATTTTGCCTGGAAGGTTGCATATTTAATTACTAACCTTTTGGTTCTTTCTCTCCCTCTCTAGACAGAATGATGTTTTTAAAATATTAGCAACTGAACTCCAGAATTCATAGAGCAAAGACTTTTCTTTTAGTGCTGTCAAGATGTTTTGTTCTTTTTTTCCACATGCATTTTTAAAGCTCATTTCTATTGTGAGCCAGCATTTTAAAACTCATTTCTATTGTGAGATACTGGTTCTATCCTAAGATCTGGGCAGAACTGGCTTTACTCCAACATACACCTGGCATGAGGACATGCACACTCCTCTTGGAGTATTTGGAGAGCTTTAGTCTCATGTTCTGGTTTGAGTAATCTGCTCTCCACTGCCAAGTAAACAGTTCCACTATCAGATAAACAGCGGGACACTTCCACAAGTGCAGCTAATAGTCTTGTAGTCTGGTTTGGAAACAGCCACAAACCATGTGTGATGTCAGAAGGAAACTTCTGAAATACTACTGGGAAAAAGCATGAGGCACAATGAAAGGCAAGGAAATAAATGCCAGCATTCAGGTGCACCAAATCATGAAATTAATTTCAGCACTACAAAATTATATCCCCAAGTGTTGTTTCTTTGTGTGCAGTTGTCATGTCATGTCTGATATTGTACTTGGGTTAAGGTCTGTGGGGTCAGGGTGGTCTTTTGCTTCTGGCTCTGTCCAGCACAGCTCAGCAGGGCCTTGGTCCGTGGCAGGTGTTATTTGATAAGCACAATAAAAGATAACAACATGGTTGGACAGCATCAGATGGAGCTGCAGGAGCCATGTCTGCTGTGCAGCTGCAGGCACTGAGCCGCAGAGTGTGTTTTTTCTTGCCCTATCTGATGTAATCTGCTGAGGCAGGTTCATGCTGTCCAACCTGAAAGTCTTCCTGGGCACTACAGTGGGTCTGCACTGCAAATCACAAAGATGATCAATGCCTCGTGCTGAGCCCTCTAAGCACAGTAACACTCTGCTTCAAATAAAGCTCTGGTGGCTGAAGATTTGGGCCAGTGACAGTCAAAGGGCTGTTGCAAAGGAGTAAGAGGGAATCCTGTGAAGCCCTGGTAGATACCCTGCTGCAAAGCCTTTTCAGATTAGATGGAAAGCTCCCCGTTATCAGAGTGAGGTATCCTTTAAAGTGAGCAGGGACATCAGAGTCAGATGCCCTGTAAAATCCCCTCTCTGTCCATGAGGCTGGTTAGTTAATCTCCTCTCTGGTATCCGTCAGGGTGTGGGCTTGCTTACCCTCCTGCCTTCCTGTCACTCCCATCTAATATCCTACAGTGAGCAAGGGCTTGGGAATTCCAGATCAGGATCCACTCACCTATGAAATGAGAAATGGTGGGGAAGGAAGAAAAAAGATCTGCTTCAAGTGAATCTGGAACAGATACATGGAGGGATTTACCTTCTTCTGCAAACCTGGAAAAGAGC